ATTCTGACGTTTCTGTAGATACCAAACATGTCTACTGTATGTCTAACTGAAATAACTCATCAGAGTTAAAGTGGAAAACTGGGGGGGGTCTGGGCTTAAAAGATGAATGAACCAGTTGGCGGGCCGAACTTTCATCACTCGTGGCCTGGATGTGGCCTGCGGACCGCCAGTTGAAAAGCCCTGCTTTAGACTAAAAAGTTATTTAAAATAAAATAGCATGCAGGCGGAGCTGCTTGGATTCTGCTGTGGTCTAGCTCCATAGCGCTGTGTTGCTCTTCATGAACAAACACACCCATGAAKTTCTGACCAATCACACGTTCTGAGCCGCAAGGTCCACATCGCAGAGTTCTGACTGGGACAATGCATGGCTGTCATTGGGGGACAGCTGCGAGAGAGCAAATAGAAGTTACGCAAATTTTTGTCACTGATCAGGGGGAACAAGACGTGTGACTCAAAGTATGTCCRAAGGCTGTCCCAATTCATGGGCTCCTTATGCTGTCGACAAATGTGACCCACAAAATACTGCAAATGAAGGCTGCATTTGAGTATCCTTCCCACCTAAAAATATTGGTACCACTTTACAATAAGGCTCCCCTTATATATGGCTTATAAATACTTTATAGATTCATATGTAAATACTTTATACGTCATTATTAAGTGTTTATTTTTGCTTTAATTAAGGACGAGTAAGACAAAACTGTCCGGTTTTTGGTCAAATACTGAGTAAAATCTGTTTATGTACATGTTACATCTAAAGTGCTATATTAAACATTTCACACTAAGTTACTACCTTGTAAACACAATAATGTATTAGAAACGCATATTATACGTGTAATATTGCACTGTATTATACATATCTACAACTATCAAAGGTAGCCTTATTGTAAAATGTAAGACTGAACACTATTTATAAGGCTCCATTATGACATTTATGCACATTTATTAATCATTAATAGTGTACCTACTGTAAAAATGTGTTTCCAATACATCATTTTGCTTACAAGTTAACCTAGTGTGAAATGTTTCATATAACACTTTATAATATGTACATGAAAAGATTTGGCTCACTATTAAGCAAGAAACCAGACAGTTTTGTCACTTTCTTATTCTTAAGTTATGCATAATAAACACTTATAAAGTGGTTACAGATGAATTGATAACCCATCTATAAAGTATTTATAAGCCATCTATAAAGGGAGCCTTATTGTAAAGATATTTCAGGACTCATTGCACCATCAGCAAACAAAAGAAATATAGAAGAGGTTTTTATTATTATTATTATTA